CCGTGTCAAGAATATGATGTAATTAAACAGATGATGTTTTCTTAAAGGACATTGATATTAGGACAACGAAAAGCAAAAATAGAAAATATTGTAGTGAATGATTATTAAGTTTATATTTAAATTAGGATAGTCTCTTTCCACTTTGAAGATGTTCTTTTTGCAACCATTGGCTTGCAATCAGATGTAAGAACCCAAAGTTGGAAATTTGACGTAACTTTGCATTTTTTAAACAGCATTATCAACAAATTGGAAGAACATGAGGAATTTTTCCCAGCATTTCAGGCATTTACTAATGATCTACTTGAAATCCTAGGTAAGAACTCCATTGGTAATAGTTAAATTTTGAGTCTTTAAGATGTCAGTGGGTTTGAGAGAAGAGTGTTCCTTAGTTACTGGATTGGTGTTTTTACCTTGAATGTTTGATAGAAGTGTCTGTAAACCATTAATAGTTGTGGAAACATGCTCCTTACTTGAAGTTAGAGTCAGTTGGAATTAGTCCACAGAATAGAGCAGCACAGAGCCTTTAAGGAGATTAGAACTGCCTTGTTTTGAGAGGTTATAAAAAATGGCATTACTCTGGCCAGGCCCAGTTTAACTCTGGCTCTGCCATTGCCTAATAAGAAATCTTGGCAGAATTTATTATTTCCCCCCACCCCTCACAGGGGATTGAACCCAGGGGTGCTTAAACACTGAGCCACATCCCCAGCCCTTTTTAATTTTTATTTTGAGATGGGGTCTCGCTAAGTTGCTTAGGGCCTTGCTAAGTTGCCGAGGCTGGCTTTGAACTCATGGTCCTCCTGCCTCAGCCTCCCAAGTCACTGGGATTACAGGTGTGCACCACTGCATCTGGCAGAATTTATGATCTTGAAAGGCCTTTCCTCCTCCCCCTCTTTTTGTTTGTTTGTCTTAAAGGTGGCATAGCCTACTGTGTTTTAAGAGTACACAAAGTTTTCTTCTCAGATGATATGAAGTAATGTAAAGTAGTGAACATCTATAGAAGAGACTTAAGTACGGCATCTATACTGTTGGTCAGATTGAGAGCTTCATTAGTAGCAGTATCTGTTAAAGGGGAAAAAATATATTTGCTTAGGGATCATAGGCAAAGAGACTCTTATTTTAACATGGCTGTAAAGTTAATTTATCTTAAGAACAATTTTCAAAGTTTAAAGTGATTTATTCACTAGCAGAATTTTTGTTTAGCTCATTTGAAAGGATTTTAAAGAATGATTCCTCAATTTTCAGAAGCAGAAATGAGACTTGGTAGGAAGATTAGGAAATGATTAAATTCAGATTTGGTAAGAAAATTAATAAATAAAAGAAATATCTTACTGCAGTGTATAGCCTAGAGAACATAAAGGAAGTTTTGTGACTGGTGTTATGTGGACTGTGGACTCAAGGGAAACAAAGAATGAGTGTCCTTTAGGCATTCTCTATATGCTTTGAAGCTCCTAGCAAGTGAAAATATTACTTGAAAGCTAAACTTCAGATGAGTCATGAGGGTGGGGTTATGGCTCAGTGGTAAAGCACTCGCCTAGTATGCTTAAGGCACACTGGGTTCAATCCTCAGCACCACATAAAAATAAATAAAATAAAATAAAAATATTGTGTCCATTTACAACTAATAACAATTTTTAAAAAGATGGGTTATGAAATTGTACAAGTGTGTTGTCTAGAATCCTGAAGAGACTGGTTTCCTGCAATGATTCTACTTGCTTCAGGAGGGCCATTAAATTCAACAGTGATGTTCGTATTAATTAATAAGTACTACTTTGCAAATTAATAAACATTTTAGTGGGTGTGCTTGCAACACTTGAAATAAGACCCTTTATTACCTTTGTCTCAGATGTTATTACATTCAACGTAGTACATGTATTTGCAAGAAAGTTCAAGGTTCTTGCAGAGGAATTTTGTATTTGGTTTGAAGTTGAAATTCTGGAGTTAAATATTTAACATTGGGGAAGTTTGGCAAAATGTGACTGGATTTTAAATTACTAAATGTCATTAAGTATCTAGTGGTGTATTGGATATCAGATAGGGAGACTACCCTTCAATAAATTTTAGTTTCTATGCTTATGTAAGTGGTATAATTGGCTGAGAAAATTTCCATATCAACAAAGGTCTTTGTCTATGAGGTTCATTTATAAGGCAGGTTTCTCATTTAATGGGAAAAGAGATATGATTTCAGAATGGATGGGGGTCGGGGAAGGTCTGGGAATAACTTGATTTTTGGACCTTTATTTACCACAATGTAAGGTGTGAACCAAATTCTCTGCAGCAGGCTGGATTACACTGTCCCCCTTCCTGTATGCTTGATGCTTTGTGAGCCCAGACAGGGATTCTGACTGAAGTCAGAAGCTTATGGAACTCATGACAGTGGGTCAGCATGGGTCAGGTGTTAAGGCTAAAGCAAGAGCAACCAAAATCTAGCTAAACAATGGAGAGAAAGAGAGCTGGATTCCAAGAATTCATGGCAGAATAAGTCAGAAAAAAGTAGTGGGTATCTATAAATCTGCCCTTAGGGCTTACTTTAAGGAAGGCTGAAGTCTGGATAATGAGAAAAAGGGACTTTGCTTTCTCCATAGCTAGGAGCTTATGAGAATGAATTCTAACTTCAGCTGGCTGGAATAAGATAGGTTAAGAAAGAGGAATCAAATTTAGAAAAATCTGTCAGAGAAGAAACTGAACTGGTTTATCTGGGAAGCCAGACCAGCTAAGGACTCTCACACCTGGCACCTGAGGTTCTCTCTCTGTGGACCTTCACACCTCTTATTAGGCACACCTGTTCAGCTCAAAAGGTAGGCCTATGGGTGATCCACTAATGAGAACTCTTCCTAAGAGAATCAGAGGGGCATTGTGTGTCTGTGTCTGTGTGTTTAATATCTTTAATTATAAATGGACACAATATCTTTATTTTTTATGTGGTGCTGAGACTTGAATTCAGTACCTCACAACTACTAGGCTAGTGCTGTCCCACTGAGCCACAACCTTAGCCCAAGGGCACTGTGTTTTATGAGAAGAATTTCCTAGGACTTCAGATGAAGACCCTAGTAAAGAAATGCTGCTACCTGGGATTTTGCTGTGTAATTAGGTCTAAAGAGGCACTACACATCATAAATGTGACCAGTTGGATGTGTTAGCAAGAGCCAGAGTCAGAGAGTACTTGTGAGTATGTGGTAGCTTTTATAAACAGATGCACTGTTTAGCATCTGTCTCTGAATCAGTGATAATGTATCACCATGATGTGCATGAAAGCACCAGTATTGTCTTTTTGCTTGAGGTTTGTTTCTGCATAGAGTTCTCATTTCCCCTGAACTGACCACTAGAAAGTTACTCTGCTTTATTATTTTTGTTTTTCTGTTACAGAAATTGATGACTTGGATGCCATTGTACCTGCAGTAAAGAAATTAAAAGTACTTTCTTACTGAAAACAAATCAAATCATTTTTACTGTGTAAATTGCATTCTTAACATTCTAAGTATTTTGTAGAATTGATCTTATTTTGTCATAAGGGTTATAAAATGTATTTGCTCACAGAAATCATCTTAATATTGGGTCATTCTCCAGTACTAAGATTCTTTTATAGAAAATAGCTGCTAAGTTATTAAAGCAGTAACTTAATTTGAGATCCTTTAATCATTTCCTAAAAACACTTTATGCTTAAATTTTAAGGTTATTTTAAGGTAGAGTTTGTAAGTAAAAGAGACACCCAAGGAGAGAAATTGCAAATAATAGAAAAGTTTCAATTAAGTTGAAGGTCTAATGACCTTTGGTTCAGGGCAAAAGGAATACCATTTGCTTTCTAAGGCCAGCCAGTAGGAAGCTACTGCTCTCCTGGAAATGATTAATTTGCATTTTACTAAGATATCCCTCATGGTGGTTGCCCTTTCAAAGCAGGAGGAAGAAAAGGAAGAAAAAAATGTTATATCTTAGTGTTAGAATAGGAAGTAAATCATGGGGGTAAAATAAAATAGGTGAGTCAATAGAAGTCCCTCATTTTTTTTAAAAAAGTATTTTTTAAAATTTTAATGTAATGTACTTTTTATAAGGACATGAGATCTCAAATAAAATTTTTGTAAAGAATTTCCAAACATAAGTGTCCTCAGTGACTTATTTGTATTACTCACAAATAATGAGTCATTCTTTTCATAGGCTCAGCCTTCCTTGGGCAAATCCTTCACCTTTGCTGCATTTTACATAAGAGTATTGTTCTTGTGCTTTCTGCTTATTCTCTATTCCCAACTTTCAGCCTGCTTTGCTTCAGGGTCCAGTGTTCTGCATCACATCCATGAGTGTGGGCCACTTCCACCTGCCCTCCATCTCCTCTCCACAAGCAGCAGGCCTAGGAGGATTTCTGTTATTTTTGTTGCTTGGTATATTATTGTAAAACATTTTCAGGAAGCAGCAGAGTGGAATGGAGAGAAAATGTCCATAGACAGCATCCAAATCCCTGGTGTTGTGACATTAGGCTTAGGGATCAGGCATAGACAATAACTTAGATTCTTCTAAAATTAAAACTCTCTATCCAGAATTCGTAGAACATGTCTTGAGGTTGAGTAGAAAAGTATTTGGATATTCAATGATGTAAATACTCCGAATTGATTATTCAAAGAAATTGCCATGAGACATTTTTTTGTTTGTTTCTAAGTTGCCTAGGCTGTCTTCTAATTTGCCGTTCTCCTACTCCAACCTCTTGAGAAGCTGGGATTACTGGTGTGTGCCACCATGCCAGGATAATAAATCATTTTAATCTGGCACCTGATTTAAAAGCCTATGAATAACTCTTAGTTTAAAATGTAAGTTTTCAAAATTTTCTCTAGAAGCCTAGGGTTTTCATTTGGAAGTGCCTCAAGGACCACTGGGAAGGGATAGTGACACTAATAGGAATAGTTTTAGGCCCTCTCTTATTGTATCTACTTTATCCATTTTTTAATTATTTAAACTATAAAAAGCAAAGTTAATTATTTAGCAATATTTAAATATAAACATTTAAAATACCAAAATTGATTTTAAAAGTTTTATTGATGTGTAATTGACATATAAACTGTACGTGTTTTTTTAAAAAAATTTTTAGTTGTAGATGTTCACAGTACCTTTATTTAGTTTAGTTTTTTTATGTGGTCCTGGGGATTGAACCCAGAGCCTCAGTGGTAGAAACTTTAAAGTGTAAATTTGGCAAGTTTTGATGTGCATATATACTTGTGAAATCATCACCACAATCAAAATGATAGATATACCTAGCACTCCAAAATTTTCTTACTATCCTTCCCAATTCCTCCAGTCTCCAGGAAGTAGTTGGTCAGCTTTCCATCACTATAAATGAGTTTGCATTTTATAGATTTTTATATAACTAGAATCTTACATACTCTTAGTCTGGCGTCTTTCAACATAATTATTTTGAGATTTTTATGGTTTTTTTTTTTTTTTTTTTTTTGCTTGTATTAGTTCATTCCTTATCACTATGTAGTATTCTGTCATCCATTTGTTCATCCATTCACTTAATGATGGAAATTTGGGTTATTTCCAATTTTTGACTACTAAAATAAAACTGCTCTGAACATTCATGTTCATATGGACATATTCCTGACATTCAATGCTGTTTCATATGTTTTGTTTGGGTTTGGTTATTGTAGGTAGAAGGGTAAATTTGGTTTACATTACTCCATCCTGGCTAGAAGCAGAAGTTAGAGGTATAACTTGAAGTCTGAAAATATGTAGAATTTCTAGGGTTGTTCTTAAAATTGTTTATTTTTATTTTGGTGCTAGGGATCAAATCTAGCACCTTGCACATGATAAGCATGGTTTCTACCACTGAATCTACCCAGTCCCTTTTTTTCCCCCCTGATTTTACTGCATTATAATCAGAATATCTTTTTGGTATTAAGTCTTTAGGATTTGAGGTTTTTGACTTTAGACAAATTTTCATAATGCTCCATATATTCTTTTTAAAAAAGTCTAATCTCTGTTATATACATGTTGTGCTATTGTGATATTTACTACATTTCTAACAGTTTGGTTTTTGTCTGCTTGGTTTGTTGGCTTCTAGGAGTTACTAAAATGTCTATAAACTTGTTAAGTTATTTTATCATCCTAATATACCTCCTATTGCTACTCATGTTTATTGCCTTGAATATATATTTTTTCTTACTAGGTATTTCTTCTCCTTTATCTTCCTTTTCATTTGTTTTACTGACCTTTTTAATTATAAAATATCATAAATGTCAAGGATAATGAATGATATAAAGTGAATACCCATATGACAACCAAAAAGTAAAACATCTCTAGCACTCCAGATAGCCCTCTCAACCCACCTTAAATGTCCCTTCCTATGGAGATCACCATTATCCTGACTTTAACATTAATCACCTCTTTGGTCTTATAAAACTAGTTTTACCATTTCTATGTGATGCCTAAATCAATATAATTTAGTTTTTATAAAAATCACAATTGTCCTCTTAATATTTCTTCAGTATTATGATTGTACAGTGCATCTGTGTTGTGTGCTAGGTTCAGTCATGTGTTTTGATTGCTATAGAATTATTCTACCTGTGAGTATTCTCTGACTCATTTTTCTGTTATACTGGTGGTTGACTTTTGGTGGTTTCCACTTCTTAGCTATTCTGAGCAGTGCTGCTATGAGTCTACATCCTTGAACCCTTTTATGCAAGCTTTCTAGAGTATACATCCAACTAAAATTGCTGGTATGTGTAGCCACATGTGCTAAGTATCGTATAACCTGAGGCAATACCATTTCTGTGGATATCAATATGAATGGAGTCTTTAGAGTTATAGAAGATGACTTTGATAGAGAATGTGTAACTTTAGAAGAAAATGCCAAACTGTTTTCCAAAGTGATTGCTCATGAGGAGTATAAATTGGTACAATGTATGAAAATCCCTATTTTCAACATCCTTTTTGCCAGTATAGTTGGAGAACTATTGTATTTTTGTTTATTTCCCTGATTAGAAGTTGAGTATCTTTTATTTACTTATTGGACATTTCTATTTCTTTTTGAAGCATTTGTGTCTTTAGCCCATTTAACTATTAGATTATGTTTTTCTGAGTAAATTGTAAAGAGCTATTACTCTGGACATGAGCCATCAGGCAGTTATATGTGTATAAATGTCTTCTTCCATTCTGAGGCCTATCTTTTCATTTCTGGTTTCTTTCAATGCACAGAACAACAATTTGGGGGGGTAGGCAATACTGGGAATTGAACTCAGGAGTACTCAGCCACTGAGCCACATTAGAACTTAATTTTAATGTAGAGAAAGATATGGTCTTTATAGGTAGTGTTCTTTGTGGCTTATGAAAATTTGCCCTGGTCTTAAATTGTGAAGTTATTCTTCCATATTACAGCATAAGTTTTCCTTTCACATTTAAACCTAAAGTTGATTTATATTTGAATGTGGCAAGAGTAAAAGACTAGTTCATATTTTCCCAAATGCATATCCAGTTGTGCCAGCACCATTTAGTGACAAGTCTGACCTTTTCCATTGCTCATAGTGGTGCCTCTGTCATAGACTACTACTACAACTACTATTGTTGGGCTTTTCTGTTGTTTTGGTCCATTTGTCTCTTCCTGTACTACTACCACCTTGTTTCAGTTATTGTATGGCTTGAAAGTAAACTTTGTCATACTGCTGAAGACTTCCCAGCCCTTGGATTTCTATGTATATTGAATCTACAAAGCTACCCACATACAACCTTTTGGATTTTTAATGAGCTTTCATTAAAAACAAATTAGCATGGGAGAATAGGCATCTACACTGTTGGGTCTTCAAATATGGCATAGCTTTCCATTTGTTTAGTCTCTGAATTTATTTTAAAAGTTGCATAATTTTCATATAGAGGTGGTTATATGAATAGTGCTTGAAGTCTTATGCATTTATAAATTACCATTTTCATTTTCTCATTGGTGAGGGAATAGAGAACTAAAATTGATTTTAAAAAAAATTTTGTATCCATCAACCTTGCTAAAAAAAAGAATTCTAGTTCTAGCAATTTATTTTGCATCTAATGTTCATATCATCACCTGTATTTATATGTAAGTTTTCTAGAGTATTTAGAATTTAAATTGCTGGATCAGAGGGGGAAAGGCCTGTGTAGCCACACGGGCTGTGCACTTGAAGCAATACCATTTATTTGGATAACAATGTGAACAAGCCTTGTTGGTGATGTGTGATTTGGCAATATTTAAATACAAATATTTAACAGTTTTGACTTTTTTAACATGGGCTACAATAGTGTTGACTAGAAGTGATAGGAAACAGCTTTTTCTTAATGTAATATTTGTTAAGATTTCTGATTATATGAATAGTAAGTATTCTTGGGTGTATCTTTTTACTTATACATTTGTATGTTTGAGCTTTTGGAAACAGCATATATAGCTATGCCTTTTACTTTCATGCTCTTTGGTATTCTAGATTTTATTAAAAAATGTTTATTTTTTTTTTTTTTAGTTTTAGGACACAATATTTTATTTATGTGGTGCTGAGAATCAAACCCAGTACCTCTGACATGCTAGGTAAGCGCTCTACCACTGAGCCACAACCCCAGCCCCTGATATTCTAGATTTTAACAGTGTATTGTGATTACAGACATTTATAGAAGCCCTTTGGCCATCTTTTTTATATTCTCTCTATCACATTTTCTGTGCTTTCCTCCCCACTATTGGGGAGGGGGTTAATTTTGCTTTTTCACTATTGATTTGGAAGTTTTATATTTCAACTTGGTGGGTTTTCTCTTACTTTATGTTTTTGGTTAAAAATTTTAACATATTGTCAGTTGAGAGAAACCACATTGCACAGGTAACTAAACATGAAAAATTTACTAAAAGGTGGCTAACTATTTAAAAGGAGGTAAGAGAATACTCTTGGACACAGTGTAGCATCTTTGGAAAGTAGACCACTCCATAGGGCCAAGGGAGAGGGTACAAAAAAAAAAGGATAAGCACCTCCTCACCAGGCCAGTTTAAGCCTCAGGGGAGAAGTGGAGCTGTCACAGGAGCCCTCTTGGCCAAGAAACTTGCAAGTGGTGGTGGAACATGAGGGCAGGAACCAGGGCTGAACTGTGAGGGGTAATGAGGTGAACGAGAACATGCTCCTAGGTTGGCAGAACCCTGGAGAACCTACCTCGGCAGAGGAGCTGCTCCAGCCTCGCAGTGTCCTTCCATTGCTTTTGGAAAAGCCCAGCAGAAAGACTCTGGACAGAGACTTTGATTTGAAGCCGAAGGTAATAATTCAGTATCTAACCCACAATTGGTTTTATATTTTTAGAACCAATTATAAATCCCTTTAGCTCCCTAAATAAGGATTTGGACACTAAATAACCAGCCAGGTGTTAGAAAACAGTGGAACTGAAAAAAAAAGTCTTTGGTTGCTTACTCCTATGGTTTGTATAAAAGTCCCAAAGGTCCACGTGTAAAAGGTGTGGTCCCAGGCCTGTGGCACTATTTGGGAGATGCTGGAATTTCCCACTGGGCTCCACCTCTTAGTCTTCCAGTTTGGGAATGTGTCCTTGAAGCGGGTACTGAGACCCCAGCCTCTTATTATCATGTCCAAACAATGAAGTGAGTGGCTTGGCCACATGCCCCACCGGGCAATCATGGGCTGAAACCTCCAGCCCTGTGCCTAGATGAACTTTTTAAGAGCTGATTATCAGGTGGTTAAAGTAATGGAAAGCCAATTAACGCTTTTTTTTTTTTTAAAGTAATCAAGACTTAGGTTTACCAACTACTTACAAGTATTTTTGCTCCCCTATAGCCACTTCTGCCCTAATGACATTTTCCTTCTTGTGTCCAGTTACTAGTTTTATCCATGTTTTGTTTCATAATTTTTGCTTGTGAGCTTCCTTTTAGTGACAAATCTGCTTTATCAGTCTCCCTGGAAGTGAAGGGCAACCTTAAGGACCAGTTTTATGGTTGACTTAATATGATCTTAACAGGACTCCAGGTTCTAAACCAATTTTTTAGTCTTGGGGATTTCTACACCAAGTTGGTGGTATGTAATTTCAGACCTTATGTTCCTGTGCTAATTGGCATCTGTATTCTGATGAGACATAACTTTTCAGGCTCTTTACCCTCTCACATAGGGCCCATAGACTTGCCTCCAGTCTGACATAAGCTAACAATTCTGGTTTCCTTTAACTCATCCTTGATTCTGTACTGCTTTGCTTTTCCGATCATCATGCGGAATTTTACCTGTTAGGAAGAAGGGTAAGCTTTCATTTGTCTGCCACCTTGATCAGTAGTTGCTTTAGTGATTCTAATATTTAACATGTAATGATACATTCCCTTATACTACTTGATGCTTTACCATTTTCAAGGTACTTGTTTATTTAAGGAACAATTACAATGTCATGAAGTAGACAGCATCGTTTCTCATATTATGAAAATCTGTCATTCAAAAATAGAAATCTCAGCGGAAACCAATTTTTATTGTATATCTACTTAACAGTCTTAAGAAGAGGGTGAAAAACCAAGTAGCTTGAAGTTTAGTTTCAATGAAACTGTTTCAGTTTCATTGACAGTTGCTTAACAAGATACTTAGTAAACATTTTTAGTTTACTGTTACAATGAAAAATGCTAGATAGTTGGTGGGAAGAGGCCCTTTCAGCATGGGCTGGCTTAGTGGAGGAGAGAAGTTTGAGGGGCATAGTGTTTGGATGACTCAGTTAACAGACCATCTGCTCAGGATAATGTAGCTGAAATCAGATTAGGTTTAAAAGGCAAATTAAGGGGTAGGCTTTGATTTTTATAAAAAAATAGTTCATCATATTACTTATAAATTATGTGATCTCCTGTTTAGAACATTGCCTGAGTTAACAGAGAAGAGGATGTGACCTTGACAACTGCTCTAAGAATATCAGGGCAAGTCTATGTGGTCTTACAGAGTTTGAAATGCATAAGAGGCACTTGTTTAAGTAGACAATTTACATATTTTGCTTTTAATGTGTTATTTAAGTAAACTACCTATCTCTTGGAATGGTGGAACAGAATTCCCAAACTTGTCTGAGATACAAAAAGCTCCTTTTCCTTTGGCAGTGCCATTCCTCAGCAGCCTTTAGCACTCTGCTAAGAAAGTTCAGACTCAGACCTAGGTTTGGAACTTGGCCCTAGGTTCCCCACCACCAGAGTACTTAGGTATATCACTGTAAAACAGAGTCAAAGGTCCAGGCACACAAGCACCACAGGTTACAAACAGGGCTTTGGCAGTGCTAGCTCTTGGCAGTTTGGGGTCACTTTTTATATCCAGAAAAGTGTCCTCCCTTGGTCAATAACTGCCCAGGAATACTGGTAGCTCCTTTAGGACTTCTTCCAGCCTGTATGTTAGGGACAGGACACTTTCTAGCAAGACCTAAATCAGATGTGCATAATTACCCATCAAAAGTGAAAAAAAATCACTACTGAGGTTTTGATGCTAATTAGACACAAATATCCCCATTTCTTTCTGCATTTGAACAAATCCAATTGCAGTAGTTCTTTCCATAACTTCTGTTTCTTCCTAATACTGTCTGGCCATGCAGATAAATTTAACACAGTATTTACTTTCATTAAATGGCAAACTGTACATATATACACACATTCTGACACATCAGCGATGTTGCTACTCAGCTTCTGGGCTGTCCATCTGGAGTCAGCTCATACCTGCAAGGCAGTTGGGTTTGGACTTATGTTAGGGCCACAATACCTGCTCATTACTAACGGCATTGGCCTCTACAGAGCCAGCAGCAACTCTCTCCAAGTTGGCCAGCCAAGAATAAGGGTAGTTAACAGGGGTCTGATAGGTTAATAAGACATGAAGTAAAGGTGTTAGTAGTTTGTCTCTTGATACTGAAAAGGGAAGAACTTTGGAGAGAGAGTGGGCAGCTGAGACAGTGTCTTGAAGAACAGATGAAAAGTGATAAATGAAAGAGCATACTCACCATTGTGAGAAGCCCTTAATCAGATCTTCTTTTGATAAGTCTATCAGCACCTAAACAACCGCAAATAATTATTTCCCTCCAAAAACACTGCATGAGTCCATCATAAAATTTCCTTGGGCTCTTAGGCGTTCAAAATGGACCTTCTCGAGAGGGACAATACAGACAGGTGCCTGTACTTTAGGAATTTCAGGTCATGTTTTCAAGTTTATATATGAATGTTATAAAAAGAAAACCTGCCTCATCTGTAAAAATGAAGATAATACCATCTACTTTATAGAAATTGGCCTTTAAAGAGGCGAGTATAGGGTACTTATTTGAATGTAACACTATGAAAATACTGTACACATACCATTTTGGGGGGCCTTTCCTTGGCATAGTCCTAGGGAGTATATTTCTTCCACTTTAGGTAAATATATTGTGCAAAGCTTGGATCTTATCACAGTACTTATTACCGTAGTGGATATTCAAATTCTTGGGTTGTACTGAGTTTGATAGATTCTTGTTAAAATAGGATTTATCATATGAATTTATATTTCTATATTATTTAATTTCAGTGGACTCGAGTTAGAGTACTGGGAGGAATATAGTACCAAGAACCCTTCTTGTACTTACTTTTCCTAACTCTTTCCTTCTGTGTGAGCCAAGTGGCCTACTATTTTTTACTGCAACATCGAGTGACCTCTTCTTTACTTCTTCCATGGGAACAAAAAATTCAAATCTTTAGGAAGAAAAAAAAACACATCAGTCATTTTTGTTGAAAATCTGAAGTGTTTTATCCACTTCCCTAGTAAAGCAGGAGCGGTAGACTATGAGGAGCATATTGGTTCCTAGGTACTCAGTGCACAGGTAATCAGAATCCTGGAAGTGTTCTGAAGCTGTGTGCCTTTCAGACTACTGTGGTTTGGAGTTTATGACCCATTTGTCTAATTCTACTTTGGCTTTACTCTTAGTTGCCTTTCCCCACTCTGAACCTGCTCAACCTCTTTCCAAGTTGTTTGCTCAGACCATCTAAGGGATAGGTTGCTGAAGAGTTAGGCTTTTTCAAGCTACATGTAAAATAGTGACTGTAGAGTAGGACAGAGGAGTCTATGTATGAACTTTGTAATCCTAAGAGAGCCTTTACTTCTAGATTATTTTTAGGGCAGAGTGCTAAGTCTGCCTTTTAGATAATCCAGGCATAATTTTGAGAAATTTACTAATGATGGTTTTAAAAGTCAAGTCTTTTCTGTATTCCTATGTAGCAATTTGTGACATCCTTCTATAACTGTATCAAAATCTCTTACTTGTGTGGCTCTACTGATGAACTCAAAGTATGGATCTTTAACATGGCCCAAAGAGAACTCAGTCCTCTTAAATGAGTAGTTATTGATCAGGAATAGAGGGAATCATAATTAAGAGGTTACAGCATCTTCCTAAGCTGGCTAGAAATGGCTTTTCTCAGGATTCTGAAGCAAACAAGACATTTTGGTTTTAGTACCTTGAGGATTATCAAGAATAAAAATACTTGAAATCAGACTTGCTACCAGTAACCCATCAAAAGTAAGAAACATGATTAGAGTTGGCCTAATCTCTTCTGTCCCCAGGAACATGAGTGGACAAGCCTTTGCAGAGAAAGGGAGGAGTCCTTCATCTAAAACCTCTGCTGTTTGCAGGAGGGAACATTAGGTCTAGCTAGCATGCAGTTAAAAATGCCCCCCCCCCCCCGGAATACTTATTTGGCAGTAAAAGGATTTGAATCTTATTAAAGAGACCTCATTTAAAGAGAGGGGGGCTGGGGTTGTAGCCCAGTGGTTGAACAATTGCCTCGCATGCTTGAGGCACTAGGTTCCACCCTCAGACACAATACCTTTATTTTTTTAATGTACTATCTACAACAACAACAAAATTATTGTGGAACATTCAATAATCAGGAATGCTTCAGTCTCTCAGGGCAGCCTTTGTGATAAATGGCCCACGTTGTCCTTCCCCTGCTAGAAAGTATACGAAAGCTTCATGGAGTCGGACCATGTTGTATTGCCCAGTCCTGGCAGGCTGCCTGGGACACACACAATACGCAAGTGGATGAGGCACTCTAGGATGGCTGAGGGCCCACTCACGTCTCATCAAACAGAGGTTCCAGGGTCTTCCTCTTCACCGAGGTCTTCTTCCGACTTGCCCACCTCCTTTCTGGCAGCAAGTAGATGCGGACATAGGGATCTGCCCCACTGCTGGTGCACGGCGTCAGGTTTCTGATTTGTAGAGAAGAGAGGCCCCTGAAAAGACTCATTTGGGAGAAAGCGTACTGGCCGCTTAGCTTGGATGGCCGGGGTAGAGAACCCTCTATAGTCTAGATGACTAGAGGCATTTAGAGGACAAGATACCAGGTGTATTTTGAAAATATGAATTTTTGTATTTGGGGTACAGCAAGTACTTTGTATCTGAGGGAATTATACTGGCTATCAGTCACCCCCAGACAGTTTTGTAGTAGTTATGTCCGAGCAAACCTCTGAGACCATCAGCCCCAAAAAATGACCATCCAAGTGCTCCTTTGAGGATTCTCTTCATTCACGGCACACAAGCCTTCAATTCTCATCTCTTCCCAATATGTTACTTCTCCACCTGGGAACCTCACACCCTGGCCCCCACTTTAGTTTGTGGCCACCTGATGCCTCTAAAGAATCCTCCTACCTGCATCTGTTGATGAGCACCCTGAGGCAGCGCCGCAGACACACGTAGCGAACCGTGAGCTGAATCTCACCAAGCCGCCGCTGCCCGCAGTCCCCACCTCTGTGAAGAAAGGGTTTGTCACCTCTCTTATTAGAGTGTTGGCCCTCTCCCCTAAGAGATACATGTCCTACTTGGGGAACACAGAGCCATGTAGGTTAATAATCTCAGGAATGTTCCATCTAGCATCAACATTTATCCTACTTTGCAGTAGGAAGAGCATGAACCCTGGAGTGTCTCTGCCTTTGTCGTGATTCCTGGGGGACTTTGGTAAATCTTACTTTTATGGTGGTAAGTTCTATCTTGTGGGGCTATTGTGAAGATTGAATCAAATCTCATAAAATAAGGCCATGGCAAAGAGTAAGTGACTACCAGTTACGTAATTCTATACTGCATGCTTTTTGTATCATCCCAGTGTGACTCTTTAGAATTCAGGAAATGTTTCTGCTGGAAGGGTCCTTAACAACTGAAGGCCAGCATCTGTTGTCCAGTTAGAGTAACTAGAGCCATAACGGGCTCATGCCTGTGTCATGCTGCCTCTAGTATAGATGTTTTGTGGAAAACCAGAACTTGCACAGGTGTGTAAGTTCATATCTACTCTTCCATCCAGGGAGATATTTTTCATGCAGGTGATTTTAGAAGAGATTAAGCAGAGGTGCATACTCAATGTAGAGGCTGTTATCTGTCAGGTCAAAGCAGGAAGAGGCCAGGGAGTTGAGCGAGGACATGCTGGGAGCTAGTCCCGTGGGTGGCCATGCGAATGGGGAGGTGGGGCATTTCATGGGCCTGGGTGACTTGATGGGCCCCGGAGAGTGGGGGCCTGGGACAGTCAAGAAGATGGTGGTTGAGCTCTTCTTCTTCCCCGGGAGCTCACAGAGCCCTTTGGCACTGTCCTTGCCTTTGGGCTCTGGGCCTGTCTCTTGGGGCTCGGGGAAAGCACTGGTGGTGGTTGTGGCGTTCTTGGGTGCCTCCTTGGTGTTTGAAGAAGGGTCTGGGGGACATGGCAGATCTGTAGGGCCTTCTCCTTGGGCTGGGGCAGTGGGACTGTGGTCGGTGGCCACCTTCTTGATGAACAGAGGGCCTTTCTTTAGGGCTTCAGGTCCTGTGTAGGGGCTCCCCAGCTCCCGTTCCTCCACACGCAAGAACTAGAAGCAGATGATAAGATGGTTATGGCTGGGCCTACCAATCAACTTCAGCTATTGTGTTTCTCCTTCCCCTCATCATCAAGACCCTAGGGAATTCCATTTCCAGAAATAAACATGGTAATCCAAATATGCTGAAAAGCCATTATGCCAGAATAAAATGAAACATCCTTTTAAATGCATAGCCAAATTTATAAGTAATTCTTTAAGTGAAAAAGACAGTGAAAAGTGAAATACAAAAGTTAAGCTTTCCTTGGGTCAATGTGAGATCCTGAAGGTGGTTTCTGTGAAAAAGGTAGAATAATAATATACTCTAGGTTTTTGTTTGTTTTTTTGGTAGGGTGGTGGTGGTGGTAGAGGAGTTGTAACTTATTGGCCTGTCCTCAGATTTATTCACCCATGGGTTTTGATACCCAAAGTAAAGAAAATAACAAATGAATCCAGACTGTAATGCTTCTGAGGTACCCAGTGGCAACAAAACTTCCTTGGGAGGAACAGCCAGCCTTAATGCAGGCCATTGTCAATTAGAGAAATGAGTCATCATGGAAATGTATCAGCAGATCAGTGTCCCAGACCTTCCAGATGATAGAATGAACAATGTTTGCCAATGACCAAAGATGGAATATAGACACAAAGAGAAAATACAATTAAAAAAAAAGGTAGATTTGGAAGAGAAAATTAGAAAACTCACTACTGAAATAAACAGGTCGAACAGTAAACTAGGCATAGCCAAAGAAAATTTGTGATCAAGAAGGTAGAATGTAGCACTATGAGATGGGAAAGAGAAGATGAGAACAAGGGTTACGGAGGATAGCTGTAAAGGTTCAATGCAGAAGTTCTAGGAGGGATTGAAAAATAGGGAAGAGGCAGTATTTGAAGGAATATCAGCTGACAATATTCCAAGAGATGAAAACCAAATCCATTTCCTGGCATCTTCAGCACAGAGTAGTTTCTTCATGCTGGGACAGTTCACCTTGCTCCACCCCCATCCCCCAGGCCGAGGGGCTTACCCGAAGTACCAGCCTCATGGAGATGAGACTGTCCAGGCCAGAGTGGTCCAGCTGAAAGCGCTGCTCCAGGGTGAGGTCAGCGTGGGGGAGGATCTGGCACAGCGGGAACTCCAGCACTCCCAGAGCGCACTCCTGGTCATCATCTAGCACCTGGGCCAGTTAGAGGGGGAACTAAATCCACCTATACTACGACCAAGTCTGAGTTGTGTAGCTACTGGCATCTGATCCCTGCCTGCAAGTGCTCCAAGCTAGTCAGGTGGCCAGGGCCATCGGGCTTTAGAGACCATGGACTGAGCTGCTCCACAATGGAATGTCCAAGCAGGGCCCCAAATCCCTCAGCTCAATTTCTTGTCCATGAAATCTTGGGCAAATCATTGATTTAGCCTCTATCTCCTCATGGGTGAAATAAACGAAATAAAGACTCTCTTCCCCAGATCTTTTGTGAAGATTAAATGAAAAAAAATTGAAGTCTGCCATTATCAATGTCCTGAGTATACTCTAAGGCTACTCTGTAACAACTATAAAGACCCTTGTGCAGGGGCAGCCTCCTCCACAATGACCTTAGGCACCCGCCTGGAGGAGGAAACAAGGCCTTGGGGGGGCCTCAGTCTCCTCTCCCTCACAGGCCCTGACTCACTGCCAGAACCGCTGGATGCGCATGTCAGACTCGCAACCTCTTAACTGTGTTCCAGGAGCCCAGCTTCAAGCACACCTTCAGGCGGAGGTGCTCAGCTGCCACACTGTGCACAAAGAAAGAGAACACCTGGCTCCACACCGGGTCCTTGCTGTGGGGACAGATCTGGGAACAGAAGGAGGAGAGAGCACAGATACTGGCACCTGCTGCTTTCAGTCTGTCCCCAGAGATCAGATATCACATGCTGTAGTGGGGGACTGCACAAGGACCACACAGCCAGATTCAAAATGCTGACAGTGCTCTGCAGGGAAGAATGGGGACTAAAAACATATCATGAAGGCTCACTGAGCCCAGAGCTGACAGAATTACTGGTGCTGGGGTAAAGGACACAGGCTGTAGGGCCAGGCCAAGCTTGAACCCCAATTCTGCTGCTTTGTACAATTGCTCTTGGGCAAGTCCTCAGCTATAAAACTATTTTGTGAGGTTATCATGAGGACTAAAGAGCCTACTAAGCCTTCAGTGTAGGGGAATTTCTTCCTTTCTGCCTCCCTCCCTGAGGGCTGGGGCCCCACTTCCTTGGCCTAGGCCTAAGCACCCGCTGTCTTACCTTACTTGTATGCGTCTTCTTGCCTACAGTCAGCTTTACATAGGAAGAAGGGTCTCTGCTGACCTTGTTCTAGGAGGAGGCAAACCCACAGCATTCAGGGTAGTGCTTCAGGGTCATCTTGAGACACCACCCCCATCAGTGGCTCCTGGGGTAACCAACTGCTTCCCTTTGAGAGAGGACTGCCCTGTGCTCCCAGGCCCTCTGGGTAGCAGTTACTATGCGAGCACCAGGACAGGACTGGCCTCAGGAGAGGCTTGATTACAGACTAGAGGCCCGAGCTGGCTTGGTAAGCACAGGCCCTTATTCCCTGGGGCTATGGAAACAGATGGTGAAGTCATGATCCAGTCCTCACAGACCCAGGCAATAACCTTCTGGGTCGCATTTATAAAAGGGCAATAAAAGCTACTGACATCAGTCATCAGGGGACTCGGATGACAAATAGGGGCAAGTTGCTTAGTCCAGTGCTTGGTTCATGGTGGATCCATGGAATGGTCCCCTTGTTGTCCCCAGGCTGTATGCACACACAGGTGCAGAAAATAAGCTGTGGTTACTTTCTGGGGTGGGGGGAGGCTGTAATTTACCCTTGCTTTGCACATCCACACTTACCCTGGCAAACCTGGAGAGTTTTTTGGCTCTATATTCACCATTCAGGTAGTCGAAAGGGTTTCTCTGCAGCACCAGAAGAAATGGAGTTAAAGCAACACATGAACTTTTGGAAGTAATAGGCACAAAGTAGGGTGTGTGTGACCCTGAAAACGTCACCACTCACCGGCAGGTTGCAGGCATTCTCCAAGAAGACCACAAGGATGGCAGTGGAGAGGCCACCATGGTCCTACAAACAGTTACAGGCTCTCACTGGGTGTCCCCAGCAGCAGGACACACCTGCTGGTTTTGCAGATGACACAGCAAAAAGAAGCCAACCCTTACCCTCCAGACCAGCTGTAAGATCTCTCATGGCCTAGCTTTTTGTTGAGGATAAGAATACAACAAACGGCAGCATGACAGATTCAAGTTAAACACAAAGGTGATTTCCCTGTTGACCTGGGATGACAGGCATTGACACAGAGCTCTTGACCATGACTTCCCTAAACATGACTGAGATGCTTAGAAGCTTGTATGCTGAGAGATTAGGGGCTTCCCTGGGTGGAGGGAGGGGGCTGAGTGACATGTTTTCCAGGACATGAGCAAGAAGTAAGGGGCTTCATCTCCTCCCTTGCCTCTTCCTGCACACAGCCTGCACGTATCCTGTACCTGCTCCTGCTAGGGAGCCCGTGACATCCCGCACTCACCTCAGTCATGGCGTCCTGGTCAGTGAGCAGTGACAGCCACTCTAGCCGCAGGTGCAGCCGCCCACTGTTTGTATCATTCAGGACAAACCACTGTGAGGTGGGGTGGGAGAGGGAAGTTCAGAAAGAGGGCCAGGGAGAGGCTACTGACCCTTTTTGGAACACTCAGTCATGGGCTCCAGGAAAAGATGCCAACCCAGACAGGGCACACATGGGCTTAGCAGGAGGGCGGGCAGACAGGTTCCAGGAGGGCAGAAGTGGTACTTCAGCATGGACAGACCCACCCTGCAATGGCACATCCCCTGCTGGGATCCTCACTCTGGACATTTCCCATGGGAGCTTCTTCTAACCCAGGCCCTGGGGTTCCCTGGAGCCACCTGTGCCTTACCCAGCTCTTGTCCCCAAGAATGGGGAATATGCAGCCAGCACAGAAGGCCCCATTTCCCAGGACAACCTGCCAGGGCTGCCTTTGGGAAGTGGGCCACCACCACCCCGCCACCAGGAACTGTGGCACCACTTTACCTCATCCACCACTCTGTTTGTCATGACGTCCCCCAGGCAGATCTGCAGGCTGGAACACACAGGGAGAGGGGGTCAGCACAAAGGAGGAGCACAGAAAGGGCCTGGAGGCCCACCTTGGAATCTACCTGGGGCCGTTAAGTCAACAGATCTTTTTCATCCCAAGAATCAATGGGATGTCAAACTTCCATTCAAGTGAAGGAAGGACTAGCTGACCACTGGGCACATGGTGCCCAGGGAGGCAGGCGGCTCCCAGACAAAGGAGCTGCTGGACATGTTGCCTCTGGACCTCTCAGCAGCAGGGCTACTGGCATTTTGAATTCGATGATTCTTTATTGTGCAAAACTGCCCATGCGTCACAGGGATTTAGCCTCCCTGGCCTGTGCCCTCTGCACGCTGCTTAGTGCTGCAAGCACCACCCCCAGTCACCTTAACAGAATGCCCTCTGATTTGGAAACTGCCCCCAGGTACCCTGCAAGGGCTAAGATTGTGTGAGAGGTGGTGACTCCCACAGTCCCCTCGCTCACTCGCTCAGCCACATACGGCATGAGCCACAAACCACTCCTCTAATTTGCAACACTGAAACTACAACTGTTTCATTAAGATGGAAAATAAAGATGACAGGCAACACCTGTTGGTGAGCTGTTTCTTAGCTGTCAGGCTGTCTCCCATTTGGTTTTATTTCCACTTTTTATAATGACATATTCATGGAATCAAGCACGGGGGCAGGGTGTGAGACTAGAAACTCTCTTCTTTGCCTCTGGCCTGGAGGTGAGCAGTGCCAGCAGTTTCCAGGCTCCTCTGCGCATGTGAACACATTCAGGTCCTCTGGATCGCATGACATAGCGCTTCCCTACCTACGAATTGGGTATCAACTAGCACATAGATGTTACTTTTTTTTTTTTGTACTGGGGAGTGAACAGGGGGTGTTTAACCGCTGAGCCACCTCCCTAGCCCTTTTTATCTTGAGGCAGTATCTCACTAAGTTGCTTGGGGCCTTGCTAAACTGCTGAGACTGGTGCTGAATTTGTGATCCTCCTGCCTTAGCTTCCTGAGGAACTGGGATTATAGGCATGTAACACCACACCTGGCTTCTACTTTGTTTTTAAAAGTACAGAATACTCTGACATTTGGCAATGGCAACTTACTCATTTGAACATTGGACCAGTGCCCTGGGACTGGGCATCCATTCATGTTTCCAGGGTGAGGAGGGGGTGTGTTCTGCTACCACAAATACTTACGCAATAGCATTTTGAGTACTAATGCTTTTATTTTGTAGGAGATTCCTGGACATGGGACTGCCTGACCCAAAGACATGTAAATCTGAAGGTCTGATGGCCAGTCCCACCCCAGCCATTTCAACCTTCCCAGAACCCAGACGGAGTGGCCAGGGTTCTTTGGAACTGGATCCCTTGTCATCCATGCTAGCCTTGCCCTCTGCTCCAAGTGGGGACTCTGGGTTCATTGTCAGGAGGGTAGAAAGCAGAGCCCATCATGCAAAATACTTGGGGTTCTCTCTGGCCTGCCCCAGGGTTTAGGTCAGGAGTGGGGACTTGAGAGATATCCAGGAAAGTGAGTGGCAGAACTGTGGTTGGTGGGGAAGGCTGCCTGGCATAGTCACCATGTCAAGGTGACCAGAGAGGGTTGCAGGTCAGTAAGCAATGAGAGCAGGGATGCCTGGGCCCTCACAGGCTCAGCCCACAGCCCCAGACAGGGGAGGTCCAAGGCCCAGTTCCACCCTCCTCACCTGCCAAGGAAGTCATCCCTGTCTGTATCCTCGTCATACAGGTCCACCTCCAGGTCCTGCCCAGGGACTTCATACACCATGAACTGAAAGGAGAGAGGTGTCCTAACCTATAGGTTGCGACTGATCCATCAGCCCTTATGACCTGAGGGAGCCAAATCCCAGCCTGGTGTGCAGGGATTTGGCCTTTTGATTGCCTCAGAACCCCACCCACAAGGAGGAAGGGATGCCCCTCACGCAGGGTGGAGGAGGCCAGAGAACATGAACAAACCGGGGCAGTGGCTACTATCCGTTCTGCCTTGGGCCTGTGGGTTCTGGAGCACTTGCCCATCACACTCCCTTGGCCCCATGGCCGTGGCACCCCAGGACACTGATCCACCCTTTATCACTCTGTTTCCCTGCCTTGGCCCATTTGTGATAGCACACAGATGGCTGGTTGTGAGGGGAAGTTGGAGAGGGCACCAAGGTGACAGCCCTGGATTGTGAAATTGGAGGGGCCATCGAGGTCTTAACAGACTATGGGTCCACCCTTCAAGTAGCAGGGACTGTGGGTGGACCTAATGAAGGACTTCAGGTTCCTGATGTGTGGCTCTAGCAGGGAAGGCTGGGGTGTGGGCAGAACTGCCTGTCTGAGGGTCTTTTTTTCTTTGAGAATTTCCAACAAAGCTAATTCTGGTAGGGAAAGAAGATAGGGGGATTTGCCTGCAGGCTGAAAATACGGGACCAGGACAGCCCACCTCCAGAGGCCTGGTGGATATGGTCAGGAATCACACCAACCTGCCTGCCCATCTCCAAGTCCCATGGCTGGCCAGAGCTTCTCCACAGGGCAAGGCCCCACCCTGACTGTGCCCAGAACAGCCCAGATGAAACCTCTAGACACCCAGGACTGTCAAAAGAGGCCAAGGAGACCCTTACCTCAAATACCTCATTCCAGGTGGGGTTCAGGTTCTTGTAGATGGTCCTGCTCCGGAAATGCTGCAAGCCGATGCTCACCTTGGCGTAGGGGTCTGATTTGCCTCCAAGCCCCAGGAAGCCATCCTTTGCGGACAGCTTCTCAGCTTCCAGCAAGTAGACTCTGATCACCCCCTGGAAAATGCCCCCGCCCAGGGCTCACAGCTGCTTCCTGGGCTGCATCAGCCATCAAGGCCCAGGAAAGCAGGGCCACAGTCGTCAGAGATCACTACCACCCCCAGCTCACCTGCTCCATGGTCTGGATGGGGAGATGGAAGCCAGAGACAGCAATGAGCCGGCCAGAGCCACACAGCAAGTGATGGTAGGACCTCAGGCTCTCCCCAGTGCCCCAGCATGTTCTACCGTGTCCCTGACCCTCCCACACACCCTACCTCCAAACTGCCACATGGAGGGCTATTCAAATGCACCCATTTCCTGTGCTGTACCAACAATCATGTCGCTTCAGGAGCTTCCTCCTTCCCATCAGCCCTCTTCACGTAACCTACATGTAGGCTGCGTCCTAACGTCATTTCTTCTCCACACCCAGTGGAGCATCCTGTGGGCACTGCCTGCTGCTGGTAGGAGGTCCCTCTACTCATTAAGGTCCCACACCAAGTGTCAGCCACCACACCCTGGGCCATGCCACAGCACAGAGCTCTTCCCCACACTCACAGAGGGTTGTTAAAAAAAAAACAAAAAAACTAAAACACGGTTAATAACCAACAGCACAGGAAATCTGAAAAGAATAATTCAAACTACTTCTTTAGAAATAGCAGTAAATACATATGCATTTTCCCTTTGACCCACATTTTCCCTTTGTTCCCATTTCTGGGAACCTATCCTAAAGGCATGCGGGCAAAAATATAGGATGACGCCCGCACAAGGCTATTCACTGCATTGTATCTGTAACAGCAAAAGTCCAGACACAGGACCTAACTGTTCATCAAGGGGTGAACCAGCTTCAGTACATTCCCACAATGAAGAGCCTCCCAGCAGCTGTGAAAGAATGAGGTCGGTCTCCATGCTGCCATTGTGAGATTTCCACAACCCAGTGAGTGACAAAAACAAGGTAGGGAAACAGTAGGCTACCATCTTTCCAAGGAAGGGGACTATGAAGATAATCAAATATGTGCACATATGACCGTGTCTATCTATCTATTCTTACTGAAAACCAAGGAAAAATAATGGCAGGATAAACCATTAGTTATAGGAAAGAAGGATCCACCGGAGGGAACAAGAGGTAGAAGTTGAATTTCTTAAAATATAATTTGGTTTTTATATAGGACTTCAGAAACACACAACTATTTCCATAATTGTAAAAGGAAATTAAGGTAACAATTAAGTCCTAAAAAAATAGAGAATAGACTGAAACAAACAAATGTAAACATTTGTGGCCAATGGAACTATTCCAAAGGAGTCTAAAATGTAGTAGTGTGACTACTCATATGTCCCAAGTAGGACATACTCTAAGGACAGTGGGACATACTCTAAGGACAGCAAGTCTTTACTAATTGTGATATGGGAGGAGGCATTTGTATTGTTACTTGGGGACCATCACACATACAGTGCAGGCCACACCAGTGTGCCACCATGGGAAGGCTGAGAGGACACATGAGCTGCATCCCCAGCCAGCCTGGGTCTTCTTGGATCTCCCCCAAGCAGATGTGTGCCTCATTCAGCAAGAAGGCCATGCCTCTTACCTGGTGCTGAGGGTAAGAATGGATGCTTTCCCCTCTCTTGGGGTCCTGACTCCCAGCCCCCAGGAGTTCAGGCCCACAGCCAAGGCATCTTTCTGTAGAGACTGTCCCCAAGGGCATCCTGAGCTGGACCCAGGATGGGGAGACAATGTGGCTCAGTGCACCAGCTCAACCGAGACTCTTCCTCAGTAGGCCCAAAGGTTCTTCCTGACCCAAACTGACAGAGTCCAGGGACCCTCCCAGAAGGAAGGGGACTCCTGCTGTGTCATGGGAATGACTGCACACAGTCCTCAACACAAGCCACAGGGGGTGCCAGGAGCACAGAAGAGAATGTGCCTGGGCTCTGCCCCTCCCTGGATGGTAAAATGACTTCAGACAAAGTCATCCCACCTCCTGGCCTCAGTCTCCACCCTCTGAAATGGGATGCCAGCCCTCGAAGGGTGGAAATTGGGATCGGTATCTGAGAATGCATTTCAGGACACCTCCCCAGCTGCCCAGGTGTCCCTCCACACTGATGCTGCGGCCAGCACCAGGTACTCACTCACACAGGGCAAAGGGAAGCGCAGGTTGGTCACATCCAGGCCCTTCTTGACAGGCACAGTCACGCGGTTGGGCAGCACCAGGTGGGCGGCAATGAGGTCCTCCAGCAGGCTGTCCGACACTTCACTGGGGTATCAGGCATGACTAACTATAGCGGGGTAATACTCCCTCCCCATGCTACCTGTCCCTCCACGCAGCCTCAGCACTGGAACTGACAGCCCAGCTTGGTGTGGGCCCTGACAGGCAGCCTGACCCCTTCCCACCTGGATGGAGGTGGCTATCCATTTTGACAAACCCTGACATTCTGTCCCAAATAGCAGCCCTCCCATCTGCACCCCCTGGCACCCACCACTCCAGTCCTGCTTTGTTCTCTGGATGGCCAAGAACAGACCCTGGGCCTGGGTATGATCTCAACTCAACTGCCCGCTAGTTGTGTGACCTTAGGCATATCACCCACCTCTGTGCACCTGGGTTCCCTCATCTCTAGGAGGTCGGCTAGCAATGCCAGCCTCCTTGAGTAGCTGTAGGGGAGGAGATGTGGCGGTGCCTGGACCACGGAAACACTACGCAAGAGCTGGCTACTGAAGCCCTCTGCTGCCTGGCATGCCCCTGTTCTCATTATAGCCCACCTCGTTCTCCCCCAAACAGGGACAGGAAGGACACACAGTGAGTGCTCAACAAATGTTGTTTGAATGAAAGAAGTTCTTACCCTGACCAATCCCTGTCCCTCCTTCCTGGGGAGGCATGTCTGATGGGCTGGAGCCCTCCTCTGCACCTCACCAGGGGCCTGGGACCTTCTCACCAGCCTCCGCTGTGACAGCCAGCCCCTCCCATGCCTGAATTCATGACCACAGTCATGAGGCCACCTGGACTTCTCACCACAGACACGGGCTAGGGAGGGGCTGGCTTGAAGAATGAAGAGGACACCTGGATGTGCCCAATCCCAGTGTATGGTCAACACATTCCAAAATGCTCTCACAGGGACCCCGAGTCAGAGGAACCAGGCTTCCCTTTAACTGACAACAGGCCCAGAGAGGTGAAATAGCCTGTCCACAGTCACAAATTTGCTAAGTGACAGAGCCAGGAGCTAGCTGGCCTGTGCTCCTCTCTCACTACCCCTGTGGTCTCCAGAACACCTCATCTGATCAGAGCCCCAGGACAGGGACCTGAATGCCCCTCAGCCCAACACTGAGTAAAGCGCTTCCTTGCCTGTGTGTGTGTGTGTGTGTGTGTGTGTTCTGGGTACAGCCCTGTCAGCCTCGGCCCACACCTATAGAGGCTCTCCCTGTGGAAGGGAGGGCTCAAGGCTGTCCCTCTCTCCCCAGTCCTCATGCATGGAACAGGAGGGTGGGCACATCCTTGTGCAGCTCCCGGCACTGACAGCAGAACCCTGGTGTCTCCACTGGGGACCTCCCTGGAGGTTCCCAGGCACTTACTTGATGCCTGGTGCATCCAGCAGGTTGGTCAAGCCTGTCCAGTTGATCTGCAGATGCTACAGGGGCAGGAGGAGGCTGTTAGGCCACAAGGAGCTGAGAACCTCTTCCAAGTACCTCACACCTGCCTGAACAGAGAGCCCAGCCTGCCAGGGATGCCCTCTGTGGGCAGGTCAGATGGGCAAGGGCACCTCCCTGTCCTGCTCGGGCCTTAGCTCAGGATGAAGCCAGGGCTGCCAGCCTGCTGCCACCCACCACCTGAGGAAGCCTGCCCATTCGGCTGCAGGCTGCCTGGCCTTGGAGAGCCCGAGATTGTGAGCTCCCCTTCAGACCTCCTGTGTGCCCCCTCTGGGATTTGTCTCTTGGTGGGACCAAGTCTGGCTCCTCAGGCTGCTGGAGGATTAAGCGAGGCAGGATCATGAGGGCCTAGGCCTGGGGGGGCTACAGCAATGTCCATTCTTGGGCTCCAACCCAAGGGCTCTGCTCAGGAGCATCTCTAACCCTGTCCCCGGGGCTCACCGGCTTTTGAAGGAAGAACACGGTGACAGCTCCCACGAAGGGCTTGTCCACCAGGAGGGGCTCCAGGATGACCCGCAGGGTGCCCTGCAACTGGATGGGCACAGAGGCTAAGAAAGCAGGTCTTCTTTCTTCTGGGTCTGCTGCACTCGGCCGAGGTCATTTCCTACCTCGTTCCATGTCCATATCAGGACCACCTACCCCAGGCCACCTGCTGTCACAGCAGGGACCACACTGGGTGTGCAGGAGCCTGGACATAGCAGCAACTCTTGTGCCAGCCACCAAGGCCACAGACTGACCCCAATCACTTTCTGTGATGTGCCTACCACTCCAGGAGCAGGGACGCAATGTCACTGCATTTTCCTGGGGTGACATCGCCACCTCCTGCTCTCACCTGGATGTCTAAGCAATGGTTCTTCATCACTCCAGAATGCCTCTCTCCCCAAGGCAGCTAGAGCCGCCCAGGGAACTTTGCAACCTGAGGCAGGTTGTGCAGCCCTGAGGTAGAGCTGGGGCTGAAGCCCAGCACCACTTCCTGGCCATGTGACCCAGGGCCTGTGGTTTCTTCAGTCCCCAGCCTGTGTTTGGTTCCTCACCATCTTTTGCAGCCTGCTCCAGCCTGAACTGGCTCCCTCCTTCCCAGACCTTTTTTCTGTCCCCAGGGGCTGGAACAGAGGCAGTCATGTGGCTCCACCCACCTGGATCCCATTCACGCCTGCATGTATCTTCTGCAGCTCCACACTGATCTCACAGTCCCCGATGTAGCTGAAACAGGGAGGGAGAAGGAAGAATGGAGACGGGGCAAGTCCACCCGCTCAGAGAGGTCTGGAAACTTGCCCAGTGTTGCACAGCCTGATCCCTGGCTGCTGTCCACCAAATCTAAGCTATGTTACTTGTCACACAACCTCCCCTACAGCCTCAGCCTTCCTTGGTTCTGTTTAGACCCTAACCCAGGTCCAGGTCAGAGAGGTAGCCCCTTAGTCCCCTGCATCTTGGTATCCTGGGTATGTCCCCACCTCTGACCTTGAGGACAATGACTCTGAATACCACCTTGCCCCATGACACCCAAAGATGGAAAGAATCAGCTCTTGGTAGACACACCACCCCTCTCCACCACTGCTGCGCCCCTGCCCCATTTCTGCCCGGGTCTCTTTCCAGAAGCAGCCCCAGTGCTTACATCAAGCCACTGCCCAGGGTGTGGTGGGGGTGGTAGAGGTGGGCAAAGGTGACCAAAGGTAACAAGGCCTCAGGCTGCAAGAGGAGGAGCCCGAGTGCAGCTGGGGCCTACACAGGGGCCGGGCCCAGGGAACTCAGGACTAGTGCCCTTGAGGGTAAAGATCAGGAGACTATTAAAGGTCAGAGGACTAAGGGGGATGACAGAGTGGTTGTCACACATCTGCAGGTCACAGGCAGAGGAGCCTGACATCACAAGTCAGAAATGCTGAGTGGGGGCAGGCAGGATGGGCAGACAGGGGCCCTGGGTACTGCCTGGGAGGCTGGATGGCCCAGATGGCATCGAGGGGCTCCAAGTGTTCACACAGGATCTCATGGCAGAGCCTCAAGGGCCAGGAGCACCTGGTTGCCTGGAGACCAATCCCTAAAGAGGGGCAGGTGGCCTCAGAATTGGCTCCCATCTCCCCAGCATGCTCTCAGGGCCAGCTTCTGGGCAAAGGTCAGAAAATATGAGACACTGGGAAGGAAGGGCATCACTCTGGGACTCAGGAGTTGACCCTCTGTCTTTCAAAGCACAACTCAAATCTCACCACCTACAGGAAGACACCCTGGACAGAGCCTCCCTTGATCCTGACTCAAGCCCATTATGAACCTCACTTGAAAGAGGTGCCTGGGTCCCGCCTGCTAACCTAGCTGCTTGTGAGACTTTGCATCCTCCAAGCCTCCGGCTGGCCTTTCTCAATGCGTGCTCGGAACTCCCTGGGCTTCCCTCCCCAGCTGGTCTGACCCTGTAGGTGACCCCATCCAGAATGAGCCAGGGGATGGGAGAAGCCAGGACGGGCCGTAGGCCCAGCGAGTGGCAGCTCCCCCAGGACCAGTCATTCTTCCATCCGTTTTTCCTGATACTCCTCCCCTTGTGCCCCAGCACAACCAGGGGTTCCACAGCCCAAATCAGAGTGTAGACATGCCACTCCATCTTCCAACTGGCTACTCCCTGTCCCTGGAAGCCCCCACCTGGCACGAGGGCTCACCATATCTGCAGGTCCAAGGTGACCTGTCTTCGGTTGCATTTGTTAGTGTGTGCCTTGACACCGTTCACCCTGGGGCACTGGAAGAGATGGCAGACAGGAAGGTCAGTAGGTTCTCAAAGCAGGGATGGCCACCAGCCCCTGCCCACAAGCCGCTGTGCTCCTGGGTTGAGGCGCACACACACACACACACAGAAACCCACCTGCAGCCCCACATGCCCCTCCCTTGAAGGTGTCTCCTCCTTTGTCTCCTGCCACGGCTATTTACTGGGCGTCTACCCTGCACAGCCCTGGACTGAGAGAAAGCAAGGAGCAAGAGGGACCAAGTCTGCTCTCACAGGCCTGCAGTCCAGCCCAGGAGACAAATAGGGCAGGGAGGGGCCACAGGAGGAGCAGCCCTGCTGTTCTGAGGCATCTGGGACTTCAGGACCTCCTGACCAGCTTGGGCGGGGCTAATGTAGGCTCCTGGAGGGGGAAGCATTTAAGCTAAGTCTGGCGGGTGAGTTGGCCCCATAGAGGAAAGGGAAGGGGGCAGGATCCTTGGTGAGGGATCTGATCCTGAGGATTCAAGTGCACTGCTACAGGGCCTTGGGCTCCAGGCTCTGGGCCAAGACCTCGGTTCCCAGATAACTTTCTTTCTGCTTTCAGCTCTACTCACTCAGACTTTTCTGTCAGGCAGTCTGGTTATTACTGATCAAGGGTTAAAAAAAAAATTCATTTGAATCTGAATTAATGATGTTCATGCTGAAGTGGGTTAGGGGTGAAGTTCACCAATATCTATTTAGTTTGAAATGCATTTTTTAAAAAGACGAGTAGACAGTCATAAAAAGAGTGAAATTATGGCATTTGCCGGTAAATGGAGGGAACTGGAGGCTATCATGCTAAGCGAAATAAGCCAATCTCAAAAAACCAAAGGGGAAATGTTCTCCCTGATATGTGGATGCTGACTCACAATTGTGGGGGGTGGAGTATACCAGATTGGATGGGGGGTAGGGAAGGGGATGAGAATGGGAAAAACAGTGGAATGAATTGGACACAACTTTTCTGTGTTCATATATGAATACACAACCAGTGTAGCTCCACATCATGTACAACCACAAGAATGTGAAGTTATACTCCATGTATGTATATGTGTCAAAATACACTCTACTGTCATGTTTATCTAAAAAGAACAAATAAATATATGTAGAGAGATGGATGCATGGATATGTAATAAATCAAATATAGCCAAAAATTACCATCTGCACAATTTGGATGGTAGGTACATGATGTTCACTGAATAGCTTTTAAAAAAAATTTTGTACGTTTGAAATTTTTCATAAGAAAATGTTGCAGAAAAAATTCAATCAGTACCACTAGAGAAAAGATTCATTAACTTTTGACTTGCTCCACAAAAAGTGGAATTTACAAATGTATTGTCCTATGGAATGGTTCTGAGTATGGAGCAAAAAAAAAAAAAATGGAGAAAAATGTATTATAGGACATATTAAACAAGTTCACTAAAAATGTCATATGGTTTTTCCAGAGTCTGTGATAAGTGTGATTTGTCAGCTTTTTAAAATGTTTAACATGTTCCAATTTATTTTCTTATTCTATTTATTGTTTAATAAATTTTAATTATTTATTTTTTTATGTGGTGCTTAGGATTGAACCCAGGACCTCACAGGTACTAGGTGAGTGCTCTACCGCTGAGCCACAACCCCAGCCCTCCTATTTATTTAATATTCACTTTACTCCCATTTTGCATTTTTGATTCTACATTCCTTTTCTTCAAGAGAGTCCCCAGTACTATGGAAGCCTCGAAGGACACAGCCCCTGGCTCTGCCTGGCCTCAGTGGAAGCCTGTGTTGGAAGAGGCTGTGACTAAGCCACCCAGGGCCTGCTGGGGGCCAAGAGGTTGGGAGGGGCTTACCTGGTACCTACAAAAGCTTGGCCAGCCCCAAAGACTCACATCCACAGAGCCAGGTCTTAGGGAGAAATGAATGCCTGGAGACCTCTGCCATGAAGACCTACTCTGTGCCAACAGGGCTCACAGCCAGGTGAGGGGCACCAGGCTAGAATTGACCTCCGCAACGCAGGGCACTGCTCACAGCCACATAGATCCATACCAAGGCCAGGCCTGTCATTTATGCCTCAACGACCACCTTAAGAAGTGGCTCCTTTCCTTTTAGACATGAAGAAACTGGAGCTCAGAGAGGTTTAGTCCTTGGTCCAAGTGCAGAGGGAGCTGGGAACAGACTTGATCTTCCCTGGCATGGGGAAGATCATTCCTTAGGGATGACTTGCCCCAGCACCACGTCCCCAGACGCCCCAGTCCGAGGAGTGGCCTGGTTGGGCAGGCTCTGCAATCAGCAGAGAGGACTCTCAGGTCTCCTGCCTGCTGAATTAGTCACATGCCAACTCAGCGCTTCCTCCCAGAAGTCCCTCCCCCTCCGCCAGCCCTCACCCCTCCACCTCTGAACCCAGGTGCTCCACCACCCTGCACACACTGCCTTGGTTCACCTACTAGCTCATCTGTCTCCTGAAGGCAGGTGTGGCGCATGCGCTCCGCAGCACCGAACACAGCGCATGCTCAGTAAGCTGCACATGAGCCAAGCAACCCTGGGCCAAGCTGGTGCTGGCAGAGCCCGGGGGCCTAAACCAGAATCTCTGCGAGTCAGGCAGCCTCCTCTGCCCCATCTCCATGGCTGGCAGGCTGGCCTGCTCTGATACCAGCATACTCCAGGGCTGGCTGGATGCCAGCACCTCTGATTTACTGAGTGGTGGATGTCATCACAGCAATGATCCAAATAAGACTCACCGCGGTGGGCTCTTTGGGGTGGGAGGAATGGGGCCCAGAGGGTGAAACTGGAAACCTGGTCTAGACCCGGGATGTGATGTTAGGTGTGCTGAACACAAACCTCTTTGGCCATGGACCATTTTATCCTGGAGTCCCTGTTGGTCTTCATAGAGCTGTGGGGGCTTCCAACCGAATGCCAGGACCAACCAGGGCATCATAAACTGCTTTATGTACTATCACAGAACATGAGGTTAGCATGGCTTGCTCATCATGAATCTGTCTGGCACCACGACTTTTTTTTTTTTTTTTTTTTGGTATCAGGGATTGAACCCAGGGTTGCTTAACCCAGCTCTTTTTTCAACGTTGACACAGGGCCTCATTAAGTTGCTTAGGGCCTTACTAAGTTGCTGAGACTGGCTTTGCACTTGAGATCCTCCTGCCTCAGTCTCTCTAGATGCTAGGATTGCAGGCGTGCTTCACCATGCCCGGCATGTTTTAAACATTTTTGCTAGAGAGGAACAACTTCTCACTTCCCCCTTCTGCTTCTGAGACGTAGCTTCCTGGGAACCTGCAGAGATGGCAGCACGAGGACTGAGGCTGATGCTGGGAACTGCATATTGTGGGGGTCGCCCCTCTCCAAGGTCCAGTGGGATCTTTACAGTCAGGTGACCAGGGAGTGGGAGGCAGGAAAAGAGGGGACAGAGAAAAGACTTCCTAGCAAGTCCAGGCTGACCTCCCTGAGACAACACCCACCTTCTGTCCAAAGTAGAGCTTGGTGAAGGTGAAGGTCCTCAGGTGGGCACTCTTTTCCCGGATCTTGGGTTCAAGTTTCTCCCGAAACTTGTTCTCCATGATCATGCTGAGGTAGGGCCAGATCTGGGCGATGATCTGTGAGGACAGGAAGAGGCCCTTGGTGGTCAGATATGTGCCCCTGACTGGAGACCCGCATCTGCCCAGGACGGGGTCCTGATTGTCTACAGCCCTGTCCCAGGGGTAGGGGCCCATGGTTCCTATGCTGCAGCACCCACTCCCCTGCCTGCCCCCCCATCTGTCTGCCTGTCATCTTTCCCTCAGACATCTGATAACTACAGCCGTGATTTCCACTCTTGTGCAGGCAGCAGGACCCCAAGCTTTAGGGGACATTCTGCAGAGCCCCATGGAAATACTCATCCACTAAATCTAATAACATGAAGCCATTTAGCTCCGTGCTAAAATGTAGTCTCATTCTCCTGTGGTTTACACAAAGAGTGAGCAGATGACAGAGGTATGGGAGAAAATATTACAGAAAAAAAGAGTTAGACTGTTTCCTCAGGGATTTTTATTTCCAGCAGTCAGAAAAGGCAGCCTTTTTCTGATTCTGCAGCAGAAAGGCTCCTGGTGCTGGTCTGGGAACACACAGAGGGGACCAAGTTCCCCTTGAAGTCGGTACCTTATATAACCATAATGCATTCAAGAGTCATTTGAAAATTTCTCAATTCCACTATAACCTTACAGAATCCCCATTGTATCTGCAGCCTTTATTGACCAAAATGTCCTTACACAGCATATGAGTGCACTATTAGAGCATTTAAAACTAACCTATAGACTATTTGGGCTTCACTTTTGTCCTCATGTCCTCTTCCTATTCTAGCAGGAGGGAGGTGGAGATGGCAGGTGGTAGTGGTGGTGGGGGAGGGGCTTGGAGGGGCTGCCGGTGGCGCCCTGCCTTTTGGGTTTGGGCCTTAATTTAAAGATGGACCTCCTTCCCATGCCCCCCTTCCAAACCCATAACTGGAGGAGCCTCGAGGTGTGAGATTTAGGGGTTCACTGTCTCTCTTTTGCAGAGGCCTCTTAAAAGCTCTGGTTCTTTCTGTGGGCTGGTCCCAGCTTCCTGCAGCGCTGGTCTGTCACTCTCTGGTGCCTCTGGAGTGCAGCCTAGAATGAGGTCTACCTCCCCATGGCAAGGTTCAGGAGGGGCCTCATCCCAATAGCCCTCTACCTCCAATGCCTCTTGAGGCCTGACCTTCAGACATGCAGCAGTCCAGGGTGTGGCTAACACACACACAGGGGACCTCTATAAGGCTTGCTCCAGAGGCCCCAGGCACTGCATTAATCCACAGAAACCTTGCCTCTCCTCCAAAGGCAGAAACCTGTTCCCTCCGAATTTTACCCAGAGGCTGGGGTGGGGTGTGGGGAGAGTTTTGATGCACTTTGAAATGACATTTCTAGTAATATAAAACACCAACCATAGATCAACAACTATCAGGAAGTTCTTTCTTATACCTATCCTAAGTTCCTCCTGCTACTGGCTAAGTCTTCTCCCAGAACAAAGGCAAGGGCTGTATTACATCCAGTGTCTGGTGACTTGAGGTGAGGACTGCAGTGGGCCTTCACAAGTTTGGGCAGCTCAGGTAGGAGAGGGACTCAGGTTTCTCATCTGTAAAGTGGGGCTCCTTGCAGGGAGGTTAGAAAGCGACCCTCAGGGCATCTGGCAGTGGTGCCCAAAGGAAGTCACCTAGATGATCTAACAGCAATCATAACAATGACGTCAGTGAAGGAGTAGTTACTCCCATTTTATGGATAAGGAAACCTTCTCAGAGACGTGAGTCAAACTTCTCAAGGTTGCACAGCCACTGTGATGGTGTATCTGGCCTGAAAACCAGGTGAAATCCAGAGCTGTTGTCTACCTAGTGTCTGCCTCTCCCTGCCAAAGTGCTGATCTTGTCAGGGAGTCAGGGAGGGGTCATACTTTTCTCTATACTATTTTCTAACTTTTCTGATGTGCTGGAGTATTAATTTTAGACTTTTTCTTAAAGATAAGAAAACCATCCTGGTGAATGAAGAAAGGGGAGGTTGCTACCCCAGCAGCAGAGGGGACACCTCTGTCCCTCCAGAGCAAGGGAACTGCTGGACCTGAGGTCTTTGTCCCAGCCCCACCCACCTCCCGGCTGCAGCAGGTGACAGGCTGCAGCGAGCACCAGGCGCAGGGAGTCCACCCTCCCGGCCCCGCCCACGGCCTTACCTTGTTGGCCCACTCGACCCGCTCCACGTCCGGGAAGTGGATCTAGGAACAGAAGCCCCGAGGGCAGTTTAGATTGGCGCTGCGTGCCCCACCCCTGGAACCAGGTGCGTGGCTGTGTCGCCCTGCTGTAGCCTGGCAGGTTCCCCCAGTGCACCCAGGCGCTTCCTCCCCGCCCACCTCCCCTAGGTCGCAAGGGCGCTCTCAGCATCCATTGGGCACCCTGCCCTGGCCACTCAGGGCGGCCCTGCCTTCAGGGAGCGCACCCTCTGGTCTGGCAGGTGGTGAACAAACAGCACCTAGGCGGACACCGATTTCGCAGTAGAGGCTGGTTCCTGGGGCAGATGGCACGCTTGTGGGTGGCTCTAGACCTGCAGCGAGCCTGGGAGGATCCCTGCAGTTCCACCCCTCTCCTGGCCCCAGAGGCCAGGAGCTGGGGGGCGGGGTCTGGAAACTTGTCTTTTGCATATGCAAATAAGCCCCGCCTTCCCTGCCAACACGGGACCACCCCCTCCATAACACCCAGATTTGCTCCTTGGCAAACTCTATCCTGTTACTTGTTTTAGTGACACAAGCTATACATAGTTTCTGGAGCAAAATTAAGCAATGCATGAATTAGCTAAGCAAGAGGGAAAAAAGGTTTTAGGGAAAGCCACCCTCCAGGGATAACCTCCTTAAGGGGTTGACTTTTCACTGGTGACTGGGGAGGGAGCGTGAGGAGGCTCCTATTCTCCCCCTGACCCGGGCTCCCAGGAACCCCACCAAAGTTGCCCCTTCCTCAGCAGCCTCCGGTTACAGCTTCCTCCAGGGCACAAGCCCCATCCTCTCTGCCTGCACTGTGTGGAGTCCTGGGTGAGCCCCAGTGGGGTGGGTGGGAGGGCAGAGGGGCTAGGTGGAGTGACAGCTCTGCTGGCCTTTGCATGAGATGATTTGGAGAGCCCTTAACTCCCTCCTTGCAGGAGTCTCAGACGCTGCTCTCAGGAGTCTCAGAGCTGTCTCTAGCTTCCCCTGGAGAGAGGGAGGTCTGAGTGTGAGTGTGCAGGGCACCTGGCCCAAAACGTGGAGCAGGAAAATGCTGGCATCGGCATGCACATGGCAGTCCCCGAGCATGGGGCCAGCTGGGGATCAGACTCACCATGAGCCTGTGCCACTTCCTCTGGTGGGGAAAGGGCCTGCCCTCCCTTCCCCAGGGCCCAGAAGACACCATCCTCCAAGTGCCAGGCTGTGGGGTGGTTTGGGGATTTGCCCTGAAGGGCCACCCTCGGGACAGAGCCATGCAGTTCTCTTAGGAGCACAGTTTTTAACTCCTTGGAGGTCAGAGGAGGTCAGAGGAGCCCAATGCTTCTCAGACTCTGTGACAGCTCGCCATTTTCCCTGCCGGCCTCAGGTTCCCAGCTCTGGGCAGTGGCCGGTTCTAATGGAGAGGTTAATATTCCAGGTGCTGAAGGAAAACGCTGCATGGTTCCCAGAGGGAGTTCTGCCAGGCCCACGGGAACCATGGGGGACGGAACTGGGAGAGCAGTGGGCAGCAGCTTAGGTCAGCCGGTCCAGCTCAGGTGTCACCACACATTCCCTGTGGCCATCCTAGGTCAGGTCCAAAGCTGGGAGCCGGGCAAGTGGAAGGAGAGACCCTTTCATTGCTGCCCAGAGGCCTAGAGACGGGCTTTAGCTCATGACTTCTTTCTAGGACTTTCCGTCATCCAGCCACGGACCTTTCCAGTCCCCACCTAGGGCTGCACATGGCATTCCATCTCTGAACCCATTCCCAGCTCCCCTCTGACTGCCTCATTCATTGCCCTCTCAGACCTCACATCCTCCAGGGGGTCTCTCCAGGTCTCCTAAGTGGAGGACAGGTGTCCCTCTAGGGTCTGCTGGTTCTGCATCACACACTTAGTACACCTTATTAGTGCCACTTGGTGTTACTGCCCTGTCCCTTCTAGATGGGAAGTGCTAGAAGGGCTGATGGGTCCCCCAGGTACAGCAGCATGTGAATGCGCACTTGTGGGCTGAAGGGATGTAGGAATGAGTGAATGTCCCCCAAGAGCTCCCAGGCTGGTGCAGGGGGAAGCAGTGAACAGCCCTCTGGGGCCCAGGATCAGACCACGGGGAGGGAGGTGCCAGCCTGACCCTTGCTGGCATCCTCCATCTCAAGCCCCTGCACTTCCCATCCTGCCCAGCGCACAGCTCAGCTTCCTACCCTTGCACATCCCCAGCCCAGGCAGCTCTGCTTCCTTGGGGGCTGGTGATCCTGCTTGGCAGGTCCAACACTGGCCACTGGGAGCTGGTCGGGTGAAGATTCCTGAGCCGCCTCCTTATAAAGAGCATATTGGGGTGGGGCCCTCCAAATTATTTTTAACAAGCTCCTGGCATGGTTCTGGAACCCTGTCAGGGCTGCTTGGGAGGCATCCCTGACCAGCCCACCCCTCACATTCAGGTGACCCACACCCACCCCAAAAAGTGTGGGCAGCCACAGGATGATCAGGCCTACGATGAAATTTTCATGATCCCTCTGCTCCCTGCACCTGTATGTGAGGTTCCTCACTTAGAGGATCTCCATAGACAAATCTGAACTCCTTAAAAGAGCAATTCAGTCCAAGAAAATAAGAGACCCTCAAGGCACCCCTTTCTGCCACGTGCCCTTGGAGGCTCCCTTTGCCTGAATCTCAATGTCTGTCTTCCCCCTCAGTGAGTGACACCAAGGGTCCAACAATGTTCTTGTGACTGTCTCCAGGTAAGTCTGGAGCACAGAATGACCTCAATGAGACTGACACCTAGTTATACTCAATGTACTGCCACTTTGACATAGACAGATCCATCACAACTTGTCTCTCTTGGATCTTGCTAAAGAAATCTTTTCTCCACCCCCAAATTCTCAGAGTTATCCTAAGTTTTTATCTATGAGCGTTCACGCTCAGATCTCCCTGGAATTTTTTGTAGGGGTGAGGTAAGATGATTTTCTCTCCCTCAATACTTCCCCGAAGGCAATTTTCCACCAACATATAATAACAACAACAAAAATCCATCTTTCCCTGACTGATGAAGCTACTTCACTCAAAAGCCAGCTTCTCCTATGTACTCTGGTGTGTTTCTGAACTTAGTATTCGACTATACCAGTCTGTTTGTCCGTTCCTGTGCCAGTACCACACTGTTTTCATTACTGTTTTTGCAAAGTGACCTGGGGCAAGGTGATTCCCTTTTTTGTTTTTCTTTTTTGAATTCATTTGGATAATAGTACATGTGTTAATGAGTTTTGCATTACTGTGACAAAATACCTGAGAAAATCGGCGTATAAGGAGGAAAGGTTTGTTTTGGCTCATGGTTTTAGAGGTTTTAGTCTTTGCTTCTTGGCTCTGTAGTGAGGCAGAACATCATAGCAGGAGCACTTGGTAGAGTAAGATGATCAGTCCATAACAAAGAGAAAAATAGAAAGGGGCTGGGCCCCTAATATCACCTTCCCAGGTCATGACACCAATGACCTAACTTCCTTGTACTAAGCCTTACCTTCTACAGGTTTTACCACCTCCCAGTAGTGCCACAGGATGGGGACCAATCCTTTAACACACAGGCATCTGGGGGACATTTAAGATCTAAACTTTAGCAGTAGATACTTCTTCCATATGAACACTGACACATTTATAACATGAGGTTTTATATCCATGAACAGAATACTTCTTTATTCAGATTTTATTGTATTCCTGTTTAGGATCATAAATCTTTAAACTTTTTCTATTAAAGCCCTGCACATTTTTGTTAGATTACTTTGGGGGTTTTAGAGTTATTAAAAATGGTACTTGACTTTTTGAGCAACTTTGACAAATGTGTTAATAGTTCTAATTGTTCCTTGATCCTCCTTGGTTATGTATAGACATCTGTCATCTGCAAATAATAATTGTTTCTTTTGCTCTCTTTTTCCTTATTTTTCTTGCTTTACTTCATTGGCCAGGACTTCTGATGTTATGCTAAGCAACAGTGGTGACACTAAATAGTCCTGGATCCTGACCCTCAAGGGACGCTCCTCAAGTTTCACTGTGAAGCATTTTTCCTGTAGATTTTGGAGGACAGTGCCTGTCAGATTGAGGAAGTTCTTTTTAATTCCCATTTGCTCAAGAGCTTTCCTCATAAATGGGCATTGAACTAGACTCAGTGTGTTCTTGAGCCCACTGACATGGTCATGACCTGTCCCCCATAATCCATTTAAGTGGTCAACTTCAGTGACGGCTCCTCCTAAGGCAGGACCAGCTCTAGTTCCTGGGATGAATCCCTCTTACCCCAATATATTTATTTAGCTTGATACTTAGGTTGTATACACCTGTGATTCAAAGTGGTCCCTAAAATTTTCATTCCTATACAATTCATAACAGATTTTGGGTATAAAGATTTTACAATAACTTGTAAATGTAGAAATTACATAGTTTACTACATCTTACCTATAAAACCTTCTTGGGCTGAGGATTTTGGGGGTAGTCAATTACCATATCATCACTAAATACCATTAGTGCCTTATGGTGTATTTGCGAGGTCTATTTATAGCTTATTGTAGTAATTTGGGCAGTTGTATTTTTCTAGAAATGTATCCTCATTTTCAAATTTTGTTGCTATATAGTTTATAATATTTTGTTATTTCTAATCTATCATATCTGTAGTTATTACTTTTTTCATTCAGTATTTTATTTTTAAAAATAAGTATTCTTAATCTTACTTTTAAAAATAAATTTTAAAAAATTCTTTTAAATTTTGCTGTTCTTGTTGCAAACAGTCTTGCCAATGGTTTTGCTTTCACAGAGGAATAGCTTTTGTTATTTTTTCCCTTTATTTAAAAAATATTATTCATTTTCATCTTCATATTTATCATTCCTTCTTTCTTTAAATCTGTTGCTCTTTTATGGATTTTAGAGTTGAGCTTCATGAGTCAGAGGTGAATCATGTTTTTAATTTTTCTTTTTTTATGATAGATTCAAAGTTACAAATTCCCCTACAATTGTTGACATAAAATTGTGTTATTCTGCTCTCATTTTTTTTTCTGATTATCTTTATGACTTCCTCTG